CCCCCCGCCCCGGGCCCACCCCCCGAACCCGCGGCAGATGCGGGGCTCGGGGCGCATCCATCTGGGAATTAACTTGTCCTCGTCGCCAGGACGGACCCGCGAGGCTGCGGTACCCTGGGGGCGGGCTCGGGTTGCAGTCCCCCGCCTGGGGTTCAGGGGCTGACACGGCAGCTGCACGCCCGGCACATCCTCGGGCGGGGGGCTCGGGAGCGGGGCTGGGGGCAACCCCCGAATCGCAAAGCCGCTCTGCCTCACTCACGGGGCAGTCAAACAACCCTCAGCCCCGAAGGCAGCTCTTGGGGATGACACTCAGGTCCCCATCGCGAACCCCCCGACAGCATTTCCCGACTGRCAGCAAAGCGGTGGCCCTCGGCCGTTCACAAGGTCCCTCTCGGTTCTCGGGCAGGGGACACACGGCCCCCAGCCTCCCACCACTGCCAGGGTAAACCTCACACGTGCCAGGTGCCCCCGCCCGGCACCAGCGGCCGAATTCCTTCCCAATCACAGAGACAAAGACCACACAGCACCGCGGCGCATGAGGAGACYACCCCGCAGCAACAGCCCATCCATTACCCCCGGCACAACTCCACAGGGATTATTTCCTTGCTCAGGACCTAGGGCCGCTCCATGCCCCCAGAGCCAGTGGGGAAAACCTCACCTCGACAAAAGGCAGCAACGGCCAAACGCGCCCTGCAGCCCAAAGTCTGCCCCTCGGTGCCCTCACCAGTCCTGCCAACCTGTGTCGTCCCCTAAATCGCACCTGAGAACCGCCCCCCGGCCATCGCCGGGGATGCTTCTGGCTGGCAGGCTCACCCGGGCCACTCGGCCGGGATCGGGTTCGGCAGGAAGGAGGCAGAGCGGGTGGCACGCCGGAGGGTGACCTTCGCCTTGCGAGGAAGCTGAAGGTCAGGGGCACAGAGAGGGACGCGCACTCGAGGAGCCGTAGGCAGCACGGGGGACACCTGGCACGGCCGCCTGCGAGCAGATGATCTCACGGCATTGCTGCCACGGCAAAGCATTTCCCAGCACRTATATTTATCCACGCAGCTATATGCACACGCGTTATATATAGACACGTACACATAGACARCCCTATATATAGACCCACATACCTGCTAGGAAGGTCAGGGCACTCCAATCTTGTTTACTTCTCCCAGCTGGAGTGGTGAGCCKGGCGAAATCCATGACTTCCACTCGGCCACCTCGTCTTGAGTTACACACGCACGCTGATTCCAAATCCAGATCCAGTGGGGTTTGTGCGAGACTTTCTGCACCGGTGCAGCTACCTTGCTCCAAGAGGAGKTCCTCATGGGCATCTTGGTGTAAAAGGCTGCAGCTGCTATGGGATCATCACGGCAAAATCCCTGTTCCCCATCTGGGTCAGCAGACCACRAGCCACTTTTGCCACTCATAGTTAAGGTGAATGCAAAAACGTTTAACGTTTCCATCCAGAGGGAGACTAGGCACAGCAGCAGCCCAGGAGCAGAAAGGAGGCACCTGCACACCCTGGGCAAAAAAAAAAAAAACAAACAAAAAACACCATTGAAAAAGCTCCTTACATTCACCAGCAAATCCAGCCTCCCTAATTCTGACTTTATTGTCCACCCTCAGAGTTTCGAACAGCAGAGCTGGTGCCACCCTGGCTGCCAGGCACCCTCTGTTCACYCACACTTCTGGACCAGTGTTCCTCCTCCAGTGAAGGATTCCTAGAAAACCTAAATTCCTACGGGGTGAGACCACCAAAAGGCAACACCAGCCAGGTGGGCTTGCCCAGGCTGGTAATGAAGACCTGAATTTAGAGAAAACTGCAGTGCAGTGCATGTTCCCAACCCYTTTTTGGGGAGCACAGTGAGGGAGCAGAGCCCTTGGGGGGTTCACTCATTCACTGTACTCCTCTGGTCTCTGTTGTGAGCTAGGACATGTGCAGAAAGCCATCGCCCCTCTCTGCGGATACCCTTGTCCCCAACAGAGCAATGCCCAACTGCCTTCACTGCAGAGAAATGACTCACACAAGTCCCTGTGACCCACGCCATATTTTCATCTTCCCTGTGACACCCTCAGAGCTCCCAAACAATGCTTTGGACATGAACTGTATGGTTTTGGGGGCTTTTCATTTGGACCTGCTCACCAGCACAACACTCCCATTTTAAATACTCCAGGTGCTCCTGCAGCACAACTCAACGTCCGCCCCCCCCCAACCCACCAACATAAAAAAAAAAAAAACCAAACAAACAGGAATTTTAAATTTAAATAAGTAAGGAGATGTAATAGTGAACTTTCTAGAGCAATTGTGCGTAATTGCCTTTGGCAGTAGCAGCCCTCACAAACACGCTGGCAGCTTTAGAAGCCTAATGCTGATGTTATGTTCTTTAAATTATTCAGGGCTCAGTTACAGAGAAAACTCAGCAAATAGAGAAGATAAGCTGGGTTTCAAGTGTAAAATTCCCCATTTGAAGATGAGAGGCACTCTTCTGGGCCTGTTTGATCTGCTGCAGAGCCCCCAGCCTGCGAGTTGCACGACAGGGCCCCCCCCTCCAGTGTCAGCCTGGTGCTATTTAATTACCCCTGAAAAATATGCAAGCCAAAGTACAAGAAGACACGGGACCAGCCAGCAGAGTCGGGGGAAAAACCCTTCACAAAGAGCACGTACCTGAAGGAGACTCACCGAGGTCTAGCARAGGTGGTAGGTCCCAGGTCACCCTACAAGTCCTTCCGGAGGTGTGCCAGCCCTGGAAACAGCAAAAACCTCRACAACTGGAGGAGCTTAGCTATATTACCAGGAGCACCTGTGTTACAACAGGTGAATGTCACTAAGGTTAACGCCATGAAGGTGAAGGTAATTAAGGTGATGTCATTAAGGCGATTACACCCAGGTGCTGTGGTGAGCACAGGTGCAAGTGGGAAACATGCCCCCATGGCAACGACTGTGACAATCTCAGAAACAACCTTACAAGCGTGAATAAAGAAATAAAACAAATTTTATCAAGTGAAAAAGCAATATTTCTCTAAAGAAAGCCCAGAGTATGCCAACCATTTTCCAGCATTCACACTGTATCAAACAGAAACTTCTACCATGAATTTTGCTTTTTGTGTGTATTTGTTTTAAAATTATCACCAGCATAATCTGTACTGGGTCAGGTCTTTCCCCACTCCAAATCAGACCTCAGCAGCTGGACAATAGAGAAGAAATACTGTACAGGTCACGTGATTTTCGAAGCCAACTGCTTCAGCCTTCCCTAGCCAGCCACAGCTGAACAACACGTTTTCAAGAGCTGGCCATTGCCATGAAATTCTAATAGCTGATTTTCCACTTTGAGCTGAGTAAAGGCTAACTGGAGATAGTCACAGAGTGGGGCTCAGCCTCCCCTCAACAATGGCAGCAAGCAGTGCCAGTGGCTGGGCAGCACATCTCCATCTGTCCAGCGCGCTGCTCGGCACCTCCATCTGCAGCAGAACASCCAGCAGATTTGGGGACAGCCTCCACAGGCTCACTCTCAGGATGCTCAGAGGTTGCATCGGCAAAGTCTTGCTTGTACCCCTCTCTACACACACAAGGAAAAAAAACCCATGTGCAAGCAGCTCTGGACAGGCAGTGCCCACGCTGATGGGCAGTTCCATTGCCTGTGTCCAAGTGCCTGGGTGCTAATCCATTCCCAAAGCTGCTGCCATGTGGAGCCAGAGGCGCAGCTCCTGCTGGCTTTGGCAGGATGGGATCAGGCCCCGAGGCTGGCAGCTACTCCCAGCTCCAGTCCAGAGGTCCACACGCTGTGAGCCTGCTGCCCATGGCTGCCCGACTTCTGCACTTTCAAGCAGAAACCTCTGTGTGTGCGAGGCTGCCTTCTGCTCCCCAGGAACAGTGTTAATATCAAGATTTTTTGGGATTGTTATTATCGTGATTATTTGCAGTGGGGCCTGGCTATAGAGGGAGAAGTCTTACCCGAAGTGCTGCAGGGCACAGGGAAGGGGCTCCCCAAAGGTGAAGCCTGCTCATCCTTATTCCCAGCTCCTTCCTGCACCTCTGCAGCACGCTGAGGATGCCCCTTGTTGGTGGGTTTCGGAGACAGATGGGTCTGTGGACTCAGGCTTACTGGGGCAGCTCTGTCCTAGAGAAGTGCCCAAGCCATGCCCCAACACGGAATTTTCTGGGCTGCGATGCCAGGTGAGGATCCTGCAGCAGGGAAAGCCAGCAGGTAGCACAACCCAGATAGCTTCTGTGCTGCACAGAGACACAGCACAGCACCAACCACCAATACGGACAGATATTGGGGGGGAAAAAAAAACCAAAAAAAACCGGAGMGCTTCTTTGGCTGTTTCCCATGTAGYAGCAGCAGCAATGTTGACAAAGGGGCTGCCTGTGGCAATGGTACTCATGCTGACCTGAGCCAGCGTGGTTCTGGGCAGTGAGGGACCTGCTGTGGCCAAGCCCTGGGCCCAAACGGCCCAAGGGGAATGCCTATGAAACCCCTCCATACAACACCCAGGTGCACAGGATCGTGGGCACTGCCTGCCCGTAATGTGGCCTGTTCTGCTYGTGCAGGAATTATCAGTTGGGGTTTGATTTATCACTTTGGAGTTTGATATCTGATTTCACCAAAGCAAACTCTAGTGTCTTGGATTAAATTTCCTGCCCACCTGCCTGTAGATTTTTGTACTTGCAGAGAGAAACAGTGAGAGCTTTGTGCGGCAGTAACAATGCAGGCACCTGCTGCACCATGCATGCACTAACACTGTATTTAGGGGGTGATCCAAACCCCACGGGAGAAGTCCAGGGGCTCAGCACCATGCCTTCAGAGAGGGTCACAAGGAACAAGCACAAAGCGAGGTGCTGCAGGATGCTGCCAGGGCAGGGCAGGGGCCCGGCACGCTCAGGGCTGTGAAAGGCCATGAATTTTTGGAGTAGATAGAAGCGACGCTGAAATCTGCAGGTGCGTGCTGGATTCCCGAGTGCAGGGGAAGCACCAGCCCGCCAGCAGCACCAGGACCGAGAACAAGCCCAGGGAGTCGTAGGAGCATAGTTAACAGCGCCTCTATGAAGCTCCTCGGGTGCGGGAGGGACCTCGAAGCCGTCGCTGGAGGAGCGAAGCTGCCGCGGGAGAGGAGTCCGGGAACAGCATCCCCGGGGAAGGAGCCCGGCGGGGCCCCGAGCATACCCGCTAGCCCCGCGGCGGCCCCACTAGATGGCGGTGCCCACCCGCCTCTGCCGCCCCCGGCGTGCCCGCAACCCGCCCGCATCCCCCAGAGCCCCGGCGCAGCGTCCCGGGGAACCCTGCAAAAAGGGACGCGCAGGAGTGGCACTGCTTTTAAGGAAAACTCCCGGGAATATTGACTGTCTCGCCTCTGCGATTAACGGCAGCGGGTGGAGCCGTGTGTATTCTCGAGGCAGGGAATGACAGACGGGAGACCCCTTGGGCTCCTGGCGTGCCTTGGGGGCCATAGGTACCGTCCCGGGGTCAGGGCGCTGAGCGAGCGGTCAGCATCAGCAGGAAGCTAGACTGTCCGCGGCAGGGACTCTCCAGGCTATCCCGCCTGAAGCTCCAGGCGCTTTCCTGGGAACCGCAAAGGCTTCGCAGCAGCTCCTGGGGCTCTGTGCAGACCCCAAACCCCACGGCAGCAGATGCCGGTAGTACCCGGYCCCCGTTTGCCCGACACCGTGTCGCCGGCCGTGGCCAGCTCCGCCTTTGGGCTATTTTCCCTGCCGCTGACCCGCTGAGCCGCGCACAGCCTGGTCGCTGCGGCTCCTGGTCCTTGCCGGGATGTGGGAATGGGTTTGCCGCACAACCCCGGGCTGCTGCGTTCCCCGGTGCCCTGCCGTGCCCCCCAAAGCACGCGGGGATGCCGCTAAATGCGCCCGCTGCAGGCTGTGTCCATCGGACCGGGCTGTGCCTCCATGCCCGGGGGTACCCGCCTTTACTTGGTCCTCCCGTGTGTCCCTGGCCGCGATGCCATCATCCCGGTAATGCACCAGGACAGAGGGGACCCACCCCTGGCCCCTTCAAGGACTCCCTAGCCAAGGACACCCCAGGCTGTGGGCTCGCGCCGGGGTCCTGTCACCCCAGACCTTGGGCAACCTCCGTGGCGGAGCCCACCCTGCAAGCAGAGGACCACCAATAGCCCTGGCAAGGGTGGAGGGCAATACAGGCTCCTTGAAGGGGTGAGGTGGGAAGAGACCAAAACACAGAAAGAAAGGGGGGGAAAAAAAAAAGAATGAAAGACAATCCAAAACCAAGGGAAGAGGAAAGAAAAGGGAAGAAAGAGGAGGAAAGAAAGAGGAAAGAAAGAGGAAAGATAAAGGGGGCAATAAAATCCCGGACAAAAGCAAAGATGCACAGAGGAAAGACCAAGAGATGTCGAAGGGCCGAAGGAAGGCAGGCGAGCAGGGAAGGAGAGCCGAGAGACGGGGCGGCATGGCCGGGGTTCTCTGTTCCTCCCCGCAGCCCAATCCGGCCGGGGCCCCATTGCCACCCCGCAGCCGCTGGGCCACCCCCTCCTCACCACCCATTCCCCCGCATCGATTAACGTCCAGGTGCTTTGAAGAAAATAAAGTCATTTATTGTCAAAGCATCCAACATACCCGGATAAACTATAAAGTTTAATAAATCTTTTTTTTTTTTTTTTTTTTTTTT